CTGTTCAATCATTTGGGCCTATTTTTGGAAGTGGGTTAGGCTGAGAACTTTTCATTCCTTCCTCTTTCATATATAGAACAAGACTGAACACACTTAATGTCCACTTAAAGAAAATGAACTGTTATCATTAGATGTCTTGGTCCATGGGTAGAAATGTTGGGGTGAAGCTTTTTGAATGTTACTATTCAACAATTAATATTAACTTTTATGTGTTACAGAAGACATAAAAATAAATTCAGTTGAACTGCTTTTTTATAGGACTCATTATGGGAAGTTGATAGTTTGCAGTTAAATGTTTGAGAGTTCGTTCAACTTAATCTATTGAAGCGGACAATTAGAAGAGTATTTTAACAGAAATTAATTAACCTTAATCTGAGAAGTGCTCAAAAAATCTTGGTCATATTTAAGAGTTTTGGTCATCAAATACTTTACTTTTTTATTATTGAATTTTAAGCAGTGTTTAACCTTTGTGCTCATAAAAAAATGGAAAATAAAAAATGACAATTATGTCTTTAACATTGATTGCTATTACATTTTTTCCTCCCTCAGCAATGTTTGTTTTAAAAAGTGAATTAAAATTTTAATAAAATCCAAACATATGAAAATGAATTTATGCATTTTCTTTATTCTTGACAAGATATTAAACACTATTTATTTATTACATTGATTATTTACAAAATTATTTTATATTTACAAAATTAGAAACATATGTGAACCCATAATGAAAGCAAACATTCATTTAATTTTAGACAAGACCACAAACACACAATATTTTGAGTGTGTATCTTCCTATTCAATGGTTGGACAAAGTTTTCCTTGTTTTTTGTTTTTTTATGTTCACACAATACAAGAGCCACTCAAGGTAGTTACTGTGTGGAGTTGTATTAGCATAAGAAAGGACAAGCAGTAGGAGAATATTATTGAAGTAAACTTTAGAAAGAACTGGAAACCCAATCCCTAATCGGGAAGCAAGGGATAAACCTCTACTCCTGTTCAAAAGACTGGAGAGAAGTGTGAATCGGACAATAGGTGAACTTAACTACTCCTATTAAATTCCCATTATTGATGAAAAATGAAAACAACAAATTTAAAAATCTCTTAAAAATCAATATTTGTCTTATTTTTTTTTTCAAAACAAATTAGTAGATTTAAAGATTCATTAACTGGGTTTTGTGAAAGTAATGCTTAGTTTTGGTTAAACAATAGCAAAAATAATGTAAACCTGTGGTAACAGATGCATAAAAAAAAAGTTATAAAGATTTTCTGAAACAGAAACTTTTGAAAAATAATTCAATTAATTTCCAAATAAGTTCTGAAAGTTTCATTAAAATCCAACAAATTTTTACAAAAATTTCCAAATCAATTTGTTTTTCACCACAAACAGATGCTCAAATTTCCCTTACAAGAAAATAAAATACACAGAAGTAAAATATAGAGGTTGGATGGAAAGTCACACTTATATATATATATATATATATATATATATATATATATATAGCATAATGAGAAGCCATGTATATTTTTCTTAATATGTATATATAAAAAAGTTGCAAATTAAAAAAAATTTTTTTTATGAAAGTATTTATTTATATATATTTGATATTTCAGATTGAAAAAGATTGAGGTCAACCTTAATTTCAAATATATATATATATATATAAATAAATACTTTCATAAAAAACATTTTTTTTAATTTGCAACTTTTTTTTTTATATATATATATATATATATATATATATAATATATAAATAATCATTGCTTTACAAATTTTGATAATTTAGTAATTTTTTATGAATTTTTGAATAAGATTTCTTTTCAAATTTGTTTCTTTATAAAATGGTAAGTAATAAATATCACATTGTTCTTGGTTCACATCTTTTTATAATCTTGTTAAAAAAAAAAATCTTGCCATAGGAGTAAAAAAAAAATAAAAGATCTAATATGGATGCCAAGGGAATAACTGTTCTTTTGAAATTTTTTTTTGGGGGGGCATGAATGCCAAATTTATATAGAATAAAAATGGAAAGTAAGCAGTCTTAACATTTAAAAGTATTTTTTTAATCTGAAAATATAACTTCTCAAATGACAATCGTTATCTTCTGTCTTAATTTTTGTTCTTTTATTATTCTAACACCTTAATAATGTTTTTCTTTTTCTTATATTCTTTCACACTTGGTAACTTCCTGTGATTTAGTGCCTTTGTTGCCTTGCTTGGGGTGAAATGATTAAAAAACGTAACATACTGTAGATGAAATAAATGACTACCAATATATTTTTAAAATTTGAACTGCTTTAATTCTGACAATTCTGCTAAGACCATTTTATGGTATAATTAAATCTCTAGAACAAAGAAATGCAATGGAATAAATGAAAGTTGTTCTGAACTTGAATTGATCTGCAAATATCAAACAAGAGATAAATCGATAACATACATAATTAAGGAGATCCTTGATCATTTATTTTTATTTCATATAATTTTTTTTTAATTAAATTCAGAATCCAAGGATAAATTTTCAACTAGATTCAAAATGTACTTGTCCTATCCATTACTTAACTAGTAAAATTTTTACAATATATAGTAGTTTGAACAGAGAAAATAATTGAATGGAAAAAAAAAAATAATCATTCAAGTTTATTGGTCTTTTTTATTATGTGTAAACAGCTATCTAAAACTATAAATATATTTTGCATTAAAATATATGAATTACTGCATTTACCATCATATAAGTTGGATTTTTTAAAATCATTTCCCCTACAAAAAAAAGTGATAAAGCCACTAAGATGCAAGTGTTTATTGTGTATGAAAGGAACAGAGAAAGCATTATTGAAGAGAGAGAACAATAAAAGAACAGGATTCAGAAAGAAAGATGAGGATTTTTTTGAAGATCGTAGTTGACAAGAAAGCAAAAAGCTTGGTGAAATCCTCAATTTCACATGTCAATATTAAGTATTTTATAAATGCTAGACAGACCATTGCAAGACCTAGATTGCTGTTAGATTTCTTTTGTTATTTTGGGTCTACTTTTAGATTAATATCTGAAACCTATTAGCATTTAGTCCTTTTCATTATCACTGGAGTCATAACTACATTTACTTTTGTAAGTATGTAGCATTTCCTGAGATGGGAAACACTGTAGCAATTCAGGGTACTTTAATCAGTTCATGACTGGCTGGGCAAAAAAAAAAAACAATTATAATGCAAGCCATTTTGAAAGCATTCTGAAGAGTATACCGATTCCATTGATGTTCCATATGTATATCATTTTGAGGTGAGGCTCTTAGCAAGGAAGTACTTTGATTTGGTTTATACAAATGTGCTGACTCACTTCCACTATTGAGAATTTTAAGGTTTCCCAGAAGTGGATATTTCAAAGAATTTGGTAAAGGCAATCCTTTCTTATAAAGAAAAAAAAAAATTCCGGAAGACATTAGAAATATTAAAATTCAATTTTTCAATGGCAAAATACAAGATTCTTAAATTATTAACAATTTTTCTCTGGACATACTTATATCATTATGAAACATACATTGCCTGCTATTGATGCATATGTTTTCAAGATGCTGTGAAATGTCAATCTCTAGCATTTGTTATAAACTAACTAGCACTTAGTGCTATTTTGAAATGAATATCATCATATAGAAGCAAAGATTACGCTCTGTTTTGTAATTTATTCTTATTATATTGAGTGTTGGGGATATCATTTAGTCACAATCAAAACCAAAATGACTGCATCATGAAAAATCACCATCAATATCTTTATAGTTATTTATTTTCAGTAAATGGAAATTTTCTGTTTTTCCACAAAAAATGGGCCAGCAAGGCCATGCCACAATGTTATAAAAATGCAGCAGTAAAGTTATTAATTTTTATAGCAATTTACTTTAAATGAATGACATCATTTTAACAAAAAGCAATATTTCAAATGTCACAATGTATTATTAATTTCCTTATTCTCGACAATTTTTTTTCTGCTAAAGTTTTACATTTTTATAACTAAGATCAACATATAGTCTGTTCCTAACTTCTTATCAAAATAGAGAATAAGTATGTGGTTCCATATGAATAATGGTATAGGGATGCAAAAGGCAGTTATGTCTCTTTTTGCAGAACAAACTAACTTTTTAAGAGGCTCTAAAGTTCATGTGACAGCACATGAGTGATGATAGTTGCTGATTAACTCCCAACAGAGACAAATGTGGTGGCTTTGCAAATGATTGAAAGGCATACATGCTCAATAAGATCATAAAATATGTCACCCAGTCCGGCAGTGTCCCTCTAAGAAACATTACAAGTAAGGCTTCCTTTCTATTCACCCTTTCACATACAGCTTGCTCTTTTTCAATTTCTATGTGTGTGACAAACTGATAAATATATATTTATGTACGACATACTTATAGTGCTCTATATAAAATGTTTTCAGGCACAATTCATTTTTTTAATTAATTTCTTTGAGTTATTCTAGTCCTTCTTCCATTGTGTTCAGATGTTAGTATATTATGGATATACTAATGCCTAATGTGGGCCTTGGAGAAAACTAAGATATTTCTTCTCTCTTTCCAAGCAACCCTATTTCTTTTTAATTCAGTAGGGAGCCTACTTCTACTCTGACTTCAAGAAGTTACAATTTAAAGAAAAACAAGAAGCAGAAATGAACTCATGAAATATCTCTGTTATTATATAAAGTGTAAATTTTAATCTTTCTGCTCCTATCCACACTTAATTAACAAGCAGTGATTCTCCAACTATAGGTACTTAGCTCACAAGGGTATCAATTTGAAATCTAAGCAAAGAAATTTCCATATGTATAATGGTCAAAATATTATGAACATATGACAAGTCAGAATGTGGGGAAAAATTAAGGAAACTGGGCAACAAAACATGGAATGTGATTTTGAACTTTTGGTGAATCACAAACTTCAATTTTTAAGATATACCAAATTAACATTTTTGTATTCTAATGGTATAGTTTGCTGAAGTTTTTTTTCTTTTTTCATTTCAGTTTTGTTGTTCGGTTTATTGAACTGAACGGTCTGCAAATCATCTTGGACTTTCTCAGCAACATGGACTATGAGACTGCTCAAAGTCCAATTCACACATCCATGATTGGTTGTATTAAGGCCCTCATGAACAATTCGGTATGTACTTCTCATACTAAACTCTGCAGTTATATTGTTATTTTTGGTTTATTAATATCACCAAACAAAAAAAATCATTCTTTGCCCAGACTATTTGAAACACATTAGTACTCGAGATGTATTCTTCTGGCTTACAACAAAGTGGATTGAAATTTTATACACAAATATTTCATATAAAAAAATTTGATCTAAGGAACTTGCAAAAAATTCTTGAAAGTGATTAGTGGTTTTCAAGACACTAATATTTAACTTGTGTTCTTATATATGGCACACTTTGGCTATAAGAGTGGGAGTGGTTTCCCTGATGAAAAATGGTATACAATTCAATACCTGTTATTAATTTCAATGTTTAAGAATATAGATAAAAAAAAAAAAAAAAAATGGAGATATCAACTGAAATACATGTACCCACTAAAAATAATATTTATAGTAATATGAAATTTATATATATATATATATATATATATATGTAATATGAGGATACAGATTTGATTCCTGTCAGTGTCTTTAAGTAGGACTTCGCAATCTAGGCTGATTGTTATTAATTTCACTGTTTAAGAAAAAAAAACAGGAATAGCAACTCAAATACATGTACCCACTAAAAATAATAATAAAATAAGAAAAAAAATTGATTAAAAAAATTCATTCAAAAGAAATATATAGATGTGTGTGTCTACTATTCAGCAGAATGATTGAACTCACAACCTTCAGTTTAGCAGAAATTAGAAACCAATGCTTTTACCCACTTGTTTGCTATTGTTAGACTTACCTGTCACACATACTCATTGTAATGGGTTTAGCATATGGGGCTCAATAAAAGTTCATGCTAATTCTCCAAAGTCTGTTGACTTCTTTTGCTTTGTGAATCTTTGTCAGTCTACATTAACAATAATATTTTGTGGGTGTGCTTGATGAAAATACTGTAGTGGTCAGATTCAAGACACTTTTGAATTAATTAATGTAGAACTAATATAAAGCAATTATTGAAACACTTATTTTTTTGATATCACTAACAAAAATAACTTATTACATTTATTGTTACAATTCTTTATAGTTATTATAATCATAAGACAAAATACAGAACATCATTTGTACTATGTGCAATCATGTATTTTTTATAAATGTTATATTTAGTGGGTACATGTTTTTGAGTAGACATCCTGTTTTTTTAAACAGTAGAAATAATGTCTACAAGCCTTGAGATAGAAAGCTTTAAAGAAAATGCACTTTGTATTCACTTTTAAATCTGGAAAAATGTTTATAGTCATAAAATAATGTCTGAAAAATTCATTAATTGCTTAAAAATTATATTGTCTTTGAAAGGTCTCAATTAGAAATGTGCATTTCTTAAGTGGGTAATTGAGTCTTACTCTCTTGTAATGGCTCCTTGCAGATATATTTTTTTAATATATATGAGGTGTGTTCAAAAAGTATTTAACCTTTTGACATAAAGCAATCAATTTTGTACATTTCACAAATCTTATTTAAACAAAATACTCCCTTTGAGAGTTGATATATTTGTCCCAGTGGTTCTGCCACTGTTGGTAACACCTCTGCAATACCATGGATTCCTATCATCGCTCTTCTCATAATTTCCTCTTGTCACTCAAATCACTTCCCTTTCAGTGTGATTTTCAGATTGGGAAAGAGCCAGAAGAGTTGGAAAGCTTGGATTATGTGTGTGGAATTAGTAGGCACAATATCGTGGTGAAATAGCTAATTCTTTGCCACCCACATGTCTGTCTGCTTTCAACGCACATCACAAAGACAATGTATAACCTCTAAGTAGAATTTCTTATTGTTTGGCCTTGTGGTGTGTATTCATGATGCACAATACCATGGAAGTTGAAGAAACTGGTCGACATCACCATTACATTGCTGTGAACCTGTTGTTTTTTTTTTGGCTTTTTGGTGATGAGATACTTCCATTGAGAGGACTGGAATTTGGTTTCTGGGTTGTAACCATAAACCTATTTCTCTTCACCAGTGATGATAGTCTTCATGAAGTCTGGGTTGTAGTTTGCACATGTCCTGAGTGATTTCCATGCAGAGTTGCTTCTGCCTCTCCACCAATACGTTGGGGGTGACTTTCACTAATACCCTCTGCATGCACAAATCCTCAGTTAAAATGGAATGTACTTATCACGTGTTTATTCCTACTTCATGATCAATTTCCTAAATTGTTATATAAGTTTTCCATGACTATTCACTGAACCTCCTCAATCAGTTCCTCATTTCATTTTATACATGGCCTACATGAGTGGACCTTGCCCTCCACTGAGGTGTAGCCATTTTTTGAAGCAGTTGTATCATTCCTTGGTCAGAGTTTTGCCCATAGCATCATCACCAAAGGACTGCTGAAGCTTCTGGGTGATTTGAGTATCACCAAGCTTTTGACAAAACTTGATGCAATATCTCTACTTAATGCATTCAGTCATGTGTGAAAACAAAATTCTGACAAGCATGCACTACATGTCTGTACTCTAGGCGTAATAACTGGGAATTGACGCAGCCTACCAGCACAAAAATGTTTATGCATGTGCAGGAAGGTTGGCATCATCTCCTACTCACAGGACTTTATTTTCTAAAAATACAATATGAGATGCTGTTATTTTTATTTTGTCTTACTTTTTTATGCTTATGTAAATTGAAAAGAAATATTTAGAAAATGATTGTCTAATTTAAACATTTACTGTTTCTTTGAGTATTTTCATTTTCAGCAATTTTTTTTACTAGTTATCTTGTCTAAAACAAAGCATCTTTTAATAGCTTTCTACATATTTATCTCTCTTTTATTATATGCACACAAATCATAATCCTTTGGTGTAAGTCTGACCAACTATGATGATCAGTTTCTTGCATGCTATACACACATTCTTCAGGTGGTTGGCACTGGACTAAAATGCCCATATTACTGAACATCCAATGCCAACCACCTGAAGAATGTGTGCATAACATGCAGGAAGCTGTCAGACTTACACCAAAAGATTGATTAATATATTATATGCTCTGCCATTGCAGCATTGAACTCTTCTTTTTTTTCTTTTCTTCTTCTGCTGCTTTCTTTCTTAGGGTACCATTTTAAAAATGCTTTTTTGGGAGTCGCTTTTTTTCTTTTTTTTCTTTTTTTCTTTTGCATGCTAATATTATATATATAGATAGATAGATCTAGATATGTATGGATATGTATATATTGATAGGCAGTATGGGCATAGGAATCAACACTGCATGGTGACTATCAGTCTCATGCCTCAATCCAATCTTCAAACCAAGCTGATAGTCATCATGTAGTGTTGATTCCTATGTCCACACTGTCTATATCTATAAACTGTCTCGCCTCTCCTTTGAATATAATAATTTTTAAACATGGAAGCATTATCAAACATTGTTTGGATCTTTGACACTCAAATCTGTGTATATTTACTGCTGTTAATGTTTTTGCTGATGCATTCTTTAGCCCACATCAGGTATATCCAGGAGCAAAAAAGAAACTGCTTATCTCCAGAAACTTACTGACAACAGGAAGTGTATACCAATATACTCATGGGACTGGTTTATTTTCACATTTTATCTCTCTGCTGAGATAGTCCAAAATTGACAAAGAGCATCTAAGAGGAGGAAGTAAGGAAATTGAAGGAGACAGCATATGTTGGTTAGATGTACAACTTGTACTAACATGGATTTTAACATTGTGGTTTTCTTTTAATTAGTATAGGTACACCAAGGTGAGGCATGCCCTATTAGGGCATGCCTCACCTTGGTGTACCTAGTAATCACTTTTGATATATAATGTACATGATACTGTGAAAATAGACCAGTCCTGTTTATTAATGAGCAGTTTCTATTGAAATCAGATTACACCTGATAAAGGCTGAAAAATTGGTCAGCCAAAATGTACAATTAACCATTTGAGAATATTATACAGGCTGCATATATTGGACTGTTGATTGGATGTATAAGCGTGGATTTTGATACTGGTTTTCTTTCCTTAACAAAATTTTCTTTGGCTCTTTGGTATAGTTAGTAATCACCTTGGGTACATGGTGTACTTGTACTTTGAAAATAGACCAGGCTATTTGGTTTATTATTAAGTAGTTTCTATTGTCAGTATATTACTGGAGATAAGTTTCCTTTTCTTTATTGATTATACCTGATGAAGGCTGAAGATTAGACCAATCAAAATGTATTAACAACAGTAAATATACAAAGAAGTGATTTGGGTCTCTGAACAAAGTTATAGAAAATACATGAGTATATTAATTAAAATTTTATTTAACATTTGAAAATCAGTAAAATTTTATTTTCTTTTTAGATTTAGGGAAGAGTAAATATACAAAATACTTATTTTTATTGTTTTTGTTTTTTTGTTTTTTTTTGGTTTGGTTCAAGTCCAAATTCATATAAGAATCTCCTTTTTATTTTCCAAATTATTACAATTTCCTGAGTCACCTTCATCTGACCTGCATTATTCTTCCTTTGCTTATACTTTAGTTTTTCTCTATCATTCTACTTAGATAAAGGTTCTTGAAATCAATAATCGTATCTCTGTTGAGATTGACAAGAAATTTATAAGCGGCCAAGTGAGTATGCAGCACTTAGAGAAAAAATGTTGAGCACTACCAATTTCATGCCTTTTAGTTCCTCTTACTCACATTCTACCTACTTTATCTATCTTCCCAGTTAGTATTTCTAATAATACCAGTATTGTTATCCACCATCCTAATATAACATCTCTTAAACTGTCATCTAAATTACCTTTAGTTTTCTGTTAACTCTGTTGTGACTGCACCATAAATATGATTTGTTTGCAATGTGAAATGCTTGAGATTTCTTATTGACATAACGTCAATGGGTTGTTTCAATCACTGCATTCATTTTGTTAACAATTCTGAT